TACACATCACGTTTATTTATTTTTGATTTCATTCATTTTTTCTCCTTTTTTTCTAGTGTTAGATATTAAAATCAGGTATCACCGATGGTTTGGTGTGCAATGCCCAAACAGAACAAAATTAAATACAGTATAAGAGTATAAATGTCTAAGACAGACCTTGAAACTTTGCCTTCCATGGAGTTTATATGTAAATTATGATAATAATCAGTCCTACTGTATACCTTGGAGATAAAGCCCAGTACTGTCATGTCACTGAACCCCTGTCCTACTTATGATTGTAATTATTATTGTTGCACTTGTTCTGGCTGCTGCTGATGATAATATAGTAATAATATCTATCTGATAGTAATAATATTGTAGCTACTGTAGGTTTTATTTGTTATTTTGTGAGAACCAACAATCCCATCCTGTATTGAATGAATTTCACTTTAATTGAAATTTTAATTACTTCTTAATGTTTTTTTTTTCTTCTATTGGGCAAAACCAGAAATACTGCCTCAAAATGCAATATTTTATAAAAGCACAACTGAGTTCCCTTTTTAAGCAGGTCATTCTGATTGGTACTACACATCTTCTTGCTCGTTTCTCCTGCCTCCATGGCTAACTGTGGTCTTCCCTGTTGCGCGTCCCCGCTAGGAGCCTTCCTCGTGCCGTACCTCTTCTTCATGCTGATAGCGGGAATGCCGCTCTTTTACATGGAGCTGGCACTGGGGCAGTATCATCGTGAAGGAGCTGCCGGTGTATGGAAGATCTGCCCCATATTTAAAGGTATTTACACTCTCTGGATGCAGTTGGGTTTCAATGCCCTATTTTCACGTTTTGATTTTAACTCGTTATCGAGAACATTAGTTGTTAGACTAGAGCCACAGAGGGCTGAGTTATCATTCAGATTTTATAGGTAAATTAACACTGTTAAATGCTCAGCTACAGAGGTCAAATTAAGCTACATTCATTTGGAAGAATCTTATCTTTATAACATATTGAGTTGATACATAATAATGGAGCGTGTCTCTATAAATAAATAATAATAGTCAGGCTATAAAAATCAGCTATTTTTAAATGTGCATATGAAATGTGTAAACACTTAAATATATAAATCTATGGGGCGTGAGTGAGTCTGTTTCCCTGGTTCTCTAACCCCACCCCCATGTACAGTATATATACAGTGGTAGCTCAGTTCTCGAACTCATTACAACTCGAATTTTCCTAAAAGTCGAACCAACCAGTTCGAAAAAAAAATTACCTAGAACTCAATCTGAATCTCAGAAGTCGAACCGTGAACGCGATCTAAAATAACTTGTACGTGCGGGGAAATGAGTCACGCCGCACGTCTCTCAGCGGAAACAAAGGGTAACGCTTCAGTCTCAGTCGCTGTGATATCATCATGCATGTTTACACTAGCTGAATACATATATTTAGACAGTAAAAATACATTGACAATGATAGACATTAACAGTAATTATTATTATATAATAAAATACATTAAAAATTTTCTTATTAATTATTTAAATATTAATAATAAACCATTAATACATTTAATTATAATAATATTGTAGTGCTGAGTGGGGACGGACCAGAGACAAAGGCACAGACGTCAGGGTATCGGGGAATACGGGGTTTAATTACAGGAAAGGCAGGCAAAACGCAGACGAACAATACAATGACCGGACTGTGGAAACAAACTGAAACGCGGACGAAATACAGAGGACTAATGACAACAACCAGAAACAGCTGATCACACAGGGATCCCACACGGGGTAAACGAGGGGGCGTGGCACACAGAAGGAGCAGACAATCGGGGCAGGACAAATTGTTTTTTTTTTACTTTACACATTATTTGGATACATTTATTTTCTTACTGTTACCAATTGCTGTTTTGATAAATGTGCTTAGATGTGTTTAGTACAGTATATGCTCTTCTTGTTTTATCCTGTTCATTTTGTGTTTAAATGCTAAAAAAAACATATTTAAGTGTAATTTTTTGGGGCCGGGAACCAATTAATTGGTTTTCCATTTTTTCTTATGGGGAAAATTCGATCAGAACTCGAACTTTTTAGGATTCAATCCAGAGTTCTGAATGGATTAGGTTCGAGTTCTGAGGTACCACTGTATATGTAAATAAGGACGATGAAGGTCCGGGTTCAGTTAATCTCCCAAAATATTTTTTAAAGATAAAGGTCATGCTGCATTTCACTGGCAAAAGACAAAGTTATTTTTAATGTGTTTCAAGATTGTGCCGCTCAAATGGAAAATGGAAAATTGGCTTTTAAGGCAGACGTAAGCACTGATTCCCCTTGTCAGTGATTTCGCTTCCTCTCCCGTGCCTCTCGACATGTCAATAAAGAGCACAATGGGGACACACTGGCATCAGCCTGCAAGGAAACGACAAGTGTAACCTTCCCTGTCGCTTGAAAAACACATGTCAGTGCTGTGTGCCACTTTAAGGCCTCCCATTTTCTGTCATTACATTTGCTCGCCAAATGACAAACAAAACAATAAAACGTGCGCCAATTTGTTTAATTTGATCGAAAAGGAAACATGTAGGACTGGAAGATTGTTTCCTACAACGTGGCTTTCTTGTATTAAGCAAAAACAAAAAAGAAAACTTTAAGCACACTATTGCCTAACTGTAAGTTCAAATCGAATGTCTTTCAATGAATTTAACTTGATCAGCAATTACTTTTCCACTTATCCCATCCTATTTACATTTAAGAAGAGCTTCTTTTGTAGTAACAGCAAATCTGATATGTGTTGCTGTAACGTGGCATTTAATATTCAGAAAAAAATAAGAATATTGACATTATCAAAGAGTTTATACTACAAAAATCTGAGTCTTGTTCTGTGTTACTATGACAAAGTATCACCATTATTATGCACTTGAACACTTTTTTTCCCCAATTTCAGAATGTCATTTCAATAGGCTTGAACAACTGTCTGTGCTTTCCCAAACATACATATTATATGCTTATAATATTTTCCACACAGCTTAGCTCATTGAAGATGAATTTCATTTTGGCAATAGACTCCTGCTGCTCCTCTATATCCTTTTCTCTAATGTGTGGTTTAGGGAAGTATATCGTACCTGTGCGTAATGGGCTGAATGTTTCAGTCATATATGTGAGTACAAGATAAAAAAAAAGAGTAAAAAATTTTACCAATCGGGCCTGGGCGTTTTTGCTGGGTTTATATGGCGTAACATAGGCTAAATTAGAACCCCACAGTGGACCACCCAGAAAAAGCCAGGTTAATTGTTCAAGATATAAATACTCTGTAAAGAGTAACACAGCATTTAGCTAGAGTGTAATATGGACGATGTCATGAAATATGTGACCAGTCCTTCAGTTCACAGTTTCCCTTGTGTGTTCTCGACTTTTTAGGAGCTGATTATACAGTTTATTATGTTGTACTACCCAAATGTAAAGGTCTTTCTCCATCTTTCCGTCTTTGTCACCCAGAAGGCCCATGGAGGACGTGCAAAGTTTGACACTTTAATCACCAGCTTGCTTGCAGGAGCGGCTGTCACCCTACAGGAGGGATTACAGTAATTATGTTGATCAACATGTTTGTTCCTCAGGATCAATGCTTTGAATAGTGCAGCGATCACAGATATGGTGATATTAGACAGACTCATCCGAGCCAATATCAGTTAGGGTTTTAAGAAGCTGTGTAGGAATTCATGGGAATAACAAATGTTTTCATTAGGTTACGTAAGAGAAACCTATACTTTTCAATATGAATTGTAGCTAATTCAAGTCAAGCGGGCTTTATTGTCACACCGTCCACATACAGGTATAACTACATGTCTATCTAGAGTCAGTCCTGCTTCAACGTGACTAGTGCGTTCCTGAAAAACCTCTGGGTCCCTAAAATCGCGTACTAAAATACACACATCCAATGGTGAAAATAGGGTTTGGGGAACGTGACTCCAAAACTTAGTATTTCCTCCAGGCAAAATGAATTAAATAATAAAATCTGAGATTCTAGTGGCCAATAATGTAATTATATGTATTTTAAGCAAGAAATAATAATATCACAAAAATAAATGATGTCATAACCATCTCCTATGGGTCTTATGAGTCTCACGAGAAGTGCCTAGTAACCGCTTCAACCAAACGTGCTAAACTTGTTGATTTCTGAGCATTGGGAGCAGTGAGCCACAGCTGCCATGTGGCCGGGCATCAACACAGCATAACCCCAACAGATTACTTTGTGTTATAAAAACCTGTTATTTTGACATTGTGGGGACCATTTCTCAGGTCCCCACAAAGATCTGTGAATGCAATCCAAAAATTAAAAATGCCTAAAGCCTGCCAAAAGGTTAGGGCTGGGCAGGGGTTAAGGCCGTCATGTTGGGATTAGAGTTTTCATAGAAATGAATGGAGAGTCCACACAAAGATATAATTACAAACCTGTGTGTGTGTGTGTGTCAGTGTATTCAATGGTAAAAAATAATGAATAAGTAAGTAATAAGTAAAATAAGTAAATTAAGTGAGTGATACTGGGGAGGGGAGGGGTTGGATATTTTTAGGCTCAGGTAGATGCTGGGGGGTTAAGTTTTGACTTTCCTGACAGCCTTTGTGGAAGAAGCTGGAGTTGATGCTGGCGGACCTGGCTTGGATGCTCCTCCACCTTCTGCTCCATGGGAGCAGGACAAACCATCCATGTCCCACTATAGGGACAATAACAAAGTAAAGCTCTAGGGGGACAGATAGTATTTTAAATTCAGTGCTGTTTTGGACTTTGCTTTCATTGTGAAATACCACAGTGAGCTTTGCCCCTCCTTTTGGAGTAACTATACCAACTGAACAGAACGTGGCTTCTGTCCTGTAGGTGTGGGGTTCACCGTCATCCTCATCTCCTTGTACGTTGGATTTTACTACAACGTCATCATTTCCTGGGCCCTCTTCTACCTGTTCTCCTCCTTCACTGGAGATCTACCTTGGGTCCACTGTAACAACAGCTGGAACAGCGCCAACTGCTCCGACCTCTGGTCCTTCAACACCACCCTCAATGACACCCACAAGTCCACCCCAGCAGCTGAATACTTTGAGTGAGTTAGGCGGAGCCTAAATGTCATAAATGAGTAATTGCTTGACTTTTAGTAGACAGGAGATAGAGTCCACCCTGTTCCTCTTCTAGGGTCAGTCTTGAGATGCTGTATAAACCTAAAGTGACATCTAATTCTGTATGGTGACAGACAGACTAAGAGCCGAACATATGGAAGGTGCTCGAGCCGCGTTTTGGTGTGAGAGATGATGCCAGTCGGGTTTGCTGTCTGACCGCCGTTCCTGTCTAGGCGAGGCATGTTGCACCTACAGGAGAGTGAGGGCATCCATGACCTGGGGCTGCCTCGCTGGCAGCTCACTTCCTGCCTCGCTCAATAACTCATAAATGAGTAATTGCTTGACTTTTAGTAGACAGGAGATAGAGTCCACCCTGTTCCTCTTCTAGGGTCAGTCTTGAGATGCTGTATAAACCTAAAGTGACATCTAATTCTGTATGGTGACAGACAGACTAAGAGCCGAACATATGGAAGGTGCTCGAGCCGCGTTTTGGTGTGAGAGATGATGCCAGTCGGGTTTGCTGTCTGACCGCCGTTCCTGTCTAGGCGAGGCATGTTGCACCTACAGGAGAGTGAGGGCATCCATGACCTGGGGCTGCCTCGCTGGCAGCTCACTTCCTGCCTCGCCGTGGTCATCCTGGTGCTGTATTTCAGCCTCTGGAAGGGCGTCAAGACGTCGGGGAAGGTAGGCGGAGACTCTCTGTGGGCGGGGCCCCGATGGGTCGCCAGGTTACCTGGCTGTTTGAGCGTTTAGCCTAACTATTTCATGTATGCTAACCTTTTTCAACATTGTGTCTGCCCATAACGATGTCGGCAACATTATTGCGTGATTTTCTGAACGATTATATGTATTCATATTGTAGTGTTGCATCATGTGTATTGTGTATTGAATTTTAGTTCTTGTTTTTACAAAAAGCACTTCTAGCATTGTTTGTATGTACTGCATGTACGTATATATGGTTACTAGTATTATACGTTGCATTTCTCCTTAAACTCACTGTACATTTTAGACTGTACGCGATATATTTTATCCTGCTAACCATCGCAAAGGAAAGTCAAGAACAAGCATGAATATGTATATACTGTATAATATGTCATATATGGATGGGGAATTTATCCATTGTATAATGCTATTAATGAGACCTTTATTGTTGTTGATTATGAAGCTTTTTATTTCCACGTTAATAATGGAATAAATATGTCGTAGAACACATGCTGGCTGTGATTGGCTATCCCGCGCAGTCACATGACTCCGCTCGGTCTGTGCAGGTGGTGTGGATCACGGCCACCATGCCCTATGTGGTCCTGACCGTGCTGCTCCTGCGGGGCGTCACCCTTCCCGGGGCCATGGACGGCATTAAAGCCTACCTGAGTGTAGATTTCCTCCGGCTCTGCGAGGCTCAGGTGACTCTCCTCTCTTTCGCCATCGTGATTCTAGGCAGGAGTGGTATTACGTGTAATACACAATAGTAATAAGGCACTGAGATCTCTTTGGCGAATCCAGTGTTTCTCAGTGGTGGGATGAGTCCGTCACTCCTCAGGACATTAATGAGCTGGATACAATTAAGCAGCTTTGGAATAAATGGATCATTGTGGGAAAGCTGTGCTCAAACACCCATTGTGATATAAGTGAGCCTCTTTCGTTCTGATTATTCCTTCTTCTGTTAAGCTCCATGCTGAACGTAAGGAGCATCATCATTTTTCCTCAAGGGGGGAAGTTCAATTTTTTAGAAATCTGTGACTGCAATCAAGAGACTAAAAATGCCAAAAGTTTTGTGTTTTCTTTGGGCTAAGAACATAAGAACTATACAAACGAGAGGAGGCCATTCGGCCCATCGAGCTCACTTGGGGAGAACTTAACTAATAGCTCAGAGTTGTTAAAATCTTATCTAGCTCTGATTTAAAGGAACCCAAGGATTCAGCTTGCACTACGTTAT